GTATTAACGAGACGATTATAATAGTGTAACTTGTTAAAATATAAATGTATTTTTTAAACATGTTGTAATTGATATACGATTATGTATGTTAATTTGATAAAAGTTTAAAATGAAACATTTAAAAGTAAAGAACGTAAAGTAAATTAATTAATTAATTATTGGGGTATAAAGTGTAAATTTAAAATTATAATTTAAAAAAAATCGTTGTGAGGAGAGGAGGGGGTGAAAAAGTGAAAAAGTGAAAAAGTGATCTAAGAGTAGTATAAAGGGTATTTTGGTCCTTTAGTATTTTAAGACTTTAAGACTTTTGTTAAATTTGCTTAATAAGATAGTATAGATATCTTCAATATGTTTTCCATCTCTATATAATTTCTTTGTATATATATTTTCAATCACTTTGAAACTAACAAAGGTTGCAAGCTAACAAACCAAGGGTATTTGGGTCTTTTTTTTCAAATTCATGTTTTTAGGTATAATTTAGTTTTTTTTTTAATTATTTATTCCTTAATATCTTATTCGGGGCTATTCAAGAGACAACAACAAGTATAAAATCAACTTAGAAATAATTTAGACTTTTGTAATGGAATTAACAATGCCATTTCTAATTTACTAATATAAATAACCAAACAATATTCAAAATCTGATCTTGATCTTGTAACATAATGGCCACCAACAATTATCCTATCATTTACACAAAAAAAGGCAATACATACATAGATCCACTCACTACACCAAATGTTGTCTTAGACAACAAAGGCTATTATATGTTGCCTAAGTTTCCTCTAAGGCAACATATATATGATTTTATGTTGCCTGGATGTATCTTAGGCAACATATTAGCCCACGTTGCATTAGTTTAATGTTGGTCACTCATTTTTTTTTAATATGTCAAAGTTTATTTAAGCAACATATATTCTTGTTTTTATGTTGGCTAAGGTACAATTTACTTAGAGAACATATGTTCTTGTGTCTATATTGCCTAAGCTAAAAAGATAACACTCTTTTCCCCTAAAAATTTCATCTCCCTTCTTTTTCCCCCACTCCCAACGCGATTCTCGTTCCCTTTCTCTCCATCGATTTCAAGACTTTGCTCTCTATCGATTGCCTTAGATGGTGTAATAGGAGGTAGAGATTTGTAGTGCTTGCAGGTGATTTCTTCACTCGACAGATCTCCATCCTACAATCGATTCCTTCCAACCAAATATCGATTTCTCTCCTGAATCTTCAACCTGGTAAGTATGTTGAATCTTCAATACTTGTGTTATATTCTCCATTTGCTGATTCACTAGACAATATACAGATGTAAGATTCAAACTCAAGATATTTAGGATTGTCTTGAGCATAAAATGTTTCATTTTAATTTATTGCTATATTCTTAGAAGACTTTCAAAAAGATAAAGCTTTTAATGTTTGTCCATTATAGGCCTTCAATAATTGATTGAAATTTTCGCTAGTGTCGGTTTTAACTTAAGACCTTTGTGTTTACCTAAGTATGTTTTTTTGTCACTTAACTTAAGACCTCTGGGTTGGATAGGAGGTCTGGTTTTATAGCTACAGGATGTCTTAAATTGCCCTCGTTATCAATCTCAAATGTGAAAAACTGGTGCTCTTTTGAGATTTTGTTGGAGCCAAATATTATTGGCCAGTTATATTGGTGGTGATGCAAGCTTGTTGAAGACAGGGAGGAAGGAGAAGAAAGATGGAATGCTTTATCAAGAAAATGGGGTTGTTTGTGAAGACAGTACTGTGGTCTTCAACAATTTTCAAAACCTAATAACATTTGTGAAACCATGTTCTTGTTCATTAAGTTTTACAGTTAACTACAATGCATGATGTTCTAATAGAAATTACATGATGTAGACAAAACCCATTGTTTTCCAATCATCAACTAATGGAGACTACCAACTGTTTTCTCTCATTATAGTTTAAGAAGAAAAAAATTGTTGATCGTAAATGTCTAGGCCATCATGCGTGCATCTCGACTAATTCAATAGACAACAAGAAGGATAAAATCCTCAGTGGTCTTAACAAGACTCAAACAAGTAACCTATGAGGGTGATCCCTAAAAACCTGAAGCTTGTTGTTAGATGAATGAACCCAATAAGCTTATGTATATTTAAGAATTGTGTCGATGTAAAATTATAGAAGTTTTATGTTGTCAATCGAAAGGAAACTAACAAAGCAAAGAATTTATCGTGGAAATAACAACTAACAGTTTATACTTTGGTTGATGAAGGACTACAACCTAAATATGAACATGTGTTTTGTCATACGCAAAGAATTTAAAAAACACGCATTACTTTTTCATATATGAACATTCAAAGTTTGCAAATCCACATAATTATCTCAACTTTAAAATATCTAAATTAATTTAAATATAATTAATTTTTAATCAAATAATTTGTATAAAAAAATAGGTATTTTGTTCTCTTTAATTTGATACATATATTTATATAAATTTTGTTTTTCTATCTTTTAACCTAGTTTTCAAAATTTTAGTCACATGTATGTTCACATGATGGTATATTAATACAATACTTTTATGGTTTCATACAATATTTACAATTTATTAAAGCATTTGAACTTTATAAATTAAAACTAACTTATAATCAACTGATAAAAATATTCATATACAATATAAATATATCGTTGAGCCCTATTAACACCGAGAAATACTCCATAAAACCGAAAACCAACAAAAAAACTCTCACTCTTCCAAATTCGAGAGAGACGAAATATAAATATATTGCACGAGTATACTTCTAGTATATTTATAATGTGAAATCCGAGTGACTATCATTTCCCCCTTTCAATTTTCCATTTCCATGGTAGTAAGAACATTTGGGATGAACCACAAGGGTGGCGTCCAATTGATTTGAGTTTGAGCTCCAAAAATTGAAAATGTTTGCAGGTCTTAGGTTCAAATTCAAAGAAGAATAAAAATCATCTTGTGGTCACGAATGTTCAAATGTGGTGACTCTAGGCTACCCACAAAACAGGTGGTCGTCCTAGGATTAATCTGCATAGCTGATTGGATAGGACGAGGACTGAAACGAAGGAGGAAATAGATGCTTTTTGTTTTACTTTGTGTTCTATCCATAACCATATATAGCTGGTACTTTGAAAATTCGGAAATAGGAATAAATATATAAATAAAATTGGCATTTTAAGTGACTAGGTTGCAAAAGGCTTTTGTTTTGTCTCTAATTAATTTTGAAATTAAATTCATTTCGGTCACATTTTCAATCTTCAAACACGCTTTCTCCCCTATTAATGTCTCTACCATTATATGTGGCTCCTAATCTTTCCTTTCTAACAACCACCACCAGTAAGGTCTTGTGGATGTGGAACCCTAATCCAATGACTACAAACTCTCATGAGGAAGATGATGACTCATGGGAAGTGAAAGCCTTCGCAGAAGATACCAGAAATGTCACAGGAATGACTTGGCCGCCACGGTCCTACACTTGCACATTTTGCAGAAGAGAATTTCAGTCAGCTCAGGCTCTGGGTGGTCACATGAATGTGCATCGTCGTGATAGAGCTCGGCTCCATCAATCCCAGCCTCACTTGAAGAACCCTAATTTATCTTCTTCCAGTCTCTTGATTCCAACTCAAGAAGTTGTTGCGAATGGTGGTCTATGCCTTCTCTACTCCATACCAAACCCCAGTACCATTTTCAACCCTTCATCTATAAATAGTGTTCAAGGTAGCCCCTCCATTTCACCTCATCCGAATACCAATAAATTCATCAATGCAAGTGTGGCTTCTCATAGCTTCAATTCTTCCGTTTCTAATTCGAGCAACACAGAAGCATCAAATCATAAAAGCAATGAAGAAGTACTCAGTCTATACAAGAAAAGAAGGAAAACTGATTCAATGGTTGCAGGAGTCGATCTAGAGCTTCGTCTAGGATGCAGCTCGTTGGCTTCTTGAAACACATATATATGTAGTGTGTGTTTTTTGTGCATGAATGTGTGGTTTTTTTCTATTCTGTTCAAAAGCTTCATTCTTTTCCTTTTTAATATGTAAAAGTATGAATTTTTTTATTTGTTGTTTGCGATTATCAAAAGGATATTTTATATTACCCATAGCATAAATAAAGGGTTCCGATGTTTTGAATTTTTACTAGGTGCTCTCTATCTCCATTTATACGACTCTAAGGGACCGTTTACAAAACACGTACATGCTAATTAACTGCTTATCAAGTCACTTTAAGTGAGAGTGATGACGTTTACCCAGTAAGCGCTTACCGGGTAAAGCGTTGCATACGATATCATTTTGATGAACTATATTCTTACCATGTAAAGTAAGTTACGGTGTTGACTCTTATACCAGTAAACACTTATCGAGGAATCATTTGGATAAACGGCCCATAAGTGATTGATTGTGGCCTTGTTTTTTGAGACATATAGATCAGTTTCTATCTCCTCTTCTTGTTTATGTACATATATATATCATCTGCATTTACGTCATGCATCTAAACAAAGTCATTCTAATCTTTTTGGAGCTCTTGTTACATTTATGTCAAAACTATAGATTGATTAAAGTAATAAATAAAACAAAACATAAAGTCAATATCAAATTTTACATTAAATTTCATATAAATTAAAATGACAAAATAACATATTATATTCACTTTAAATATAATCGTTATGCTAATTAACATTCTTTTGAAACCAAAATCAAAAATCGCCAAATATATTCACTTTATATATATATATATATATATATATATATAATTGGGTTAAAACTTGTATTATTAGACTAAAAGTTAAAACATATATAATTAAGTAAATATTAAAACATATATAATTGAGCTACAAACTTTTGAAGAACTTGTTCCATGTCACACATCCATACATGTAACCATGCATGGTAACACATTGCCCAATTTTAAATTTAGCGGAGATGCATATGTATATATATATTCGACATAATGATAGGCTTATGATACACATAACGATGAATATTTTTAAAAGATCAACTTAATTCAAAAAAAATGTCAAGATGTACAAAACAACTTTAACATTTTATTTGTACACAGAGATTTACGTTGATTTGAATATAAAATTGAGTGCAAAGATAGGGTTCTTTAAACTCTACATTTTGGATAGAACGCAAGAAAGGTACCATTTTGTGGACCAACTATCAACATTTGTAGCCAAGTGAAAACACACTTGAGTATTTGACCATTTGAGTACGATAGTACTGCCTATAACTAGTGTTTCGATCATGTCAATTTTGTATAGTGAAGAGTTACCTTTTGTAAACTTAGTTGGTCAATAATTGAACTTGACTGTTTCCAAAATTAAAGAAACATGTGTAGGTAAACATACAGCTAAGAAATGTAGATGGGTCCTGCATGTTTTCAAGTGCTAATGGTGAGAATACATTGGTCCCCTCTCCTCTCTCTGTACTCTCCACACCTTGGCTATCTTTCATTAATGAGATGATATATGCATGATAGTTACCACCATATCTCAGAGCTATCAACAACTTTGTCCAATCTCTTTGGTCCCCTCCAAATAAAATTTCCTGTCTATTGCTTTTAGTTTAACCCAAAAGATCTAAAGACTGTTCTATGGCATGCGTATCTGCAGGCGATACTAGTAAAAAAGTTTTGACTGATAGAGGAAAAACGAACACCATAAGCAACAAACCCTTTTTTTCTTCCTTTTTCTGGATATGAATCCAATATTAAGACAGTAGTAAAAGTATCCGACCACATTAAGATATGGAAAGTAAAGGGTAGGGTCATGAGAGAAGCACAAGTCTTATTCCATTGCGTGGGCTCGAAAACCATGGATAATGATTACCCCTCTCTCTTGCAGTGACTATAACGACCCTTCTTAAGCATACTGCCAAAGCCAGAAACGGATATTTGTATCTGTGAACGTGGGGGACTTTGCAATAATGGTCGTCTGTGTAAAAGTGATCTTATTTTTGGTTTCTATATGTTTCTACTTTATTTGTACTTGCAATCCACTCATCTTTCCATGAAGCTCATCAATGGTGATTTCTTTCTAATCTTTAGGTATAATAATTTGTGTTTACCTTCTTCAGTAACAATCTAATTAACGATCAAATGCTTACGTGAACCAAAAAAACACATAATGAAACTAATCATGTTAAGTTAGAGGAACAAAGAACCAACTTCAATACGAGACATTCAATCCTATGAAATGGATAGGTGGTCCTTAGAAACAAGCATACAAATGTTTTCTCTATTTAAGTAATGATGAGATTAGATTGCACGGTCCCAAGTAATAATTAAAGATGCAAAACTTTATTACAAAACAAATATGTGATCGTTACTAACGAATGCGGAACAAATGGATTTAATAGATCAAGAAAATGTCTATAATGGATTACATGAAATATCAACAATCAAAGGAAAGTGAACAAACAAAATATTCATGAATTAATGAACCAAAAGTCATTGACAAATTAGCGACGGAAGAGTTCATCGTTTGAAGTCATATTTTTGTAGAAACACAAGGAATCAAAACTAAATAAAATAAACCTTGGAAATGTTGTTTCTACAAAATAAAATAAACTAACTTTTTGTGGATTACAGGTGCCTGACCGTGTCAAAATAAACTAACTTTTTGTAGAAACACAAGGAATCGGATTTGTCACGACATTTTTCAAGATTGTGGATGCCTCTTGTATTATATGTTGTTTTTCAGTTTCGACGATTTCATTGTTTCATATCATTTTCTTCAACAAGGCTCGGATGTTCATACATAACACAAAGAGATCCCATATCGGAAGGAAGATTAAAGGTCGAAAATCATCTTATTTTGGCACCAATTTGGGTCAACAACTATGTATAGAAGGAACATTGTGGCTGGACCATACGTTTTGGGCTCAAAAAAGGCCTTGGTCCCCTTCAATTTTGGTTCATCTCTCCACATTTTTAACTCTGCACTATAATAATATTGGTTTTATATCACGTCCAAAATGTAGAAGCATCTTAAAAAAATATTATATAGGAATTAAGTTCATAGGATAAAACCAAAAAAAAATTATATTTAAAAGTGTTACAATAGGTTTATAGGACGTTTTTAGGCGTTTTAACTAATTTTTTAGGACTTTTAGGATGTTTTAACAAGTGTTTTAGAACCTTTTAAAATAAAGTGTTTTCTTATTAACTAATCTTATATGATACTATTTGAAAAATAGTGTTCTATAAACAGAAAATGTCCTATAAAATAGCTGATAGGACACCTATTTTAAAAGCAGTAGAAAGAACTTGTTAAAACACTTACAAACATCTTATAAACTTATTGTAACGCTTTTAGATATAACGTTTTATACTTTGGTCCTATAAACTTGCGTTTTATAAAATATTCTATTAAAACGAGTAGACAATATAGGTGTCTTATAAAATCAATTTTGTTGTAATGTCAATTTTCATAGAACTTTCTATTTATTCCCTACAATCGATTTCATATGCTTGGAATTAATTAGCTTGATCGTTGTATCCTCTAAATGATGTTTGTGGAGACAAATCATGTCTTAGAAGATTACTAATTTCAGGCTTCTATCTATTTAACCTTTCGTTGATCTTCACATAATCATCAAGAAAGTTTGCAATTGACCAGTTTTATTGCTACTAATTTTGTTACTTGTATTTACATATATATTTCAAAATTGTATTATAATATAAACACTAAGACACTATTGTTGGTGTTTGTTCTCGTTTTGATTGGAGAGTTAAGGATATTTTAATCCAACAACGTGCATATGTGTACAATCACCAACAATAGTGCCATACTGTGCATATGCATTTTTATATATATATAGAGAGAGAGATTGTTCATTGCATTTGTACAACTAATGCAACCCAATAAATTAAGATATTTATGGAAATGATAGAGTTCATTTATTATGATTTGAATATTTATGGAAGATGAATATGATTCATTAATTATAATCAATACTTTATATTAGAAAACAATTAAAAATTCTATGAAATCACATATTAATCAAATGAAATGGACGGTTGAAATTGGATTATATTGATTGCACAAATGTGAAGGGTTGTACACAAAATATGTACCTTGAGTAAATCTACAAGATTTGACCCTCGAACTTGTGAGAAACGTAAGAAGATGTGTTTATTTTATATAGATAGAAAATCATGTGAAGTGGTTCTACTATTTATGAAGTTCAAAAAATGAGACATTTCTGAATGAATTCTGATCATCATATTATTCATTGTACACTGAACTTATTCTCTTTACGATTTGAATACCAACCTCTTCTATGTATACAATATACAGATTTCCTTCATCCTTCTAATTTTAGGAACTCCTTGAGTTCTTATCTTCAAGTTTGAGCTGCCGGAGTTTTTTCCGGTGATCATGGATCTTCCAAAGACCATGTCCTAGTATCGTTGCTGAGTATATCCCATGTGTTATGATGGGTGCAAGAATGTTATTTGTCTGTCAAAACCCCAGATCAAGTGATCAGTTTCTTCCCTAATTATATTCTAAAAAGCCAGCCACATCAAATTCATACAAGTTTCCAATTGAATGATTACCTGGTTCCACTCGAACCCGAGGTAAAGCGCTACAATTCCTTCAAGTAACGGAGAATATATCTTCTTCATTTGCCTCCTTTCGTACCAGGCTGCGAAAAGCTTCTTCATTTCATCCCGACCACAAGCAGAGCTCAAAACCGGTGCCACAATGTAAGTGGGATCTAGAATTGCGACAAAACCCAGCCAAGGGTGTTTAGCTTTTAGAACATTCGAAAATATAAGCGATTTTATTCATTCCCATATGATGGAATGAGAAACAATCAAACCTTCTGGAGATGCAGCAACGTAATAGAAGGAACTAGTGAGAGCAGCCGTGATCACGGCTGCAAACGCCTGCGCAAACGGTACAAATGGTGGCAGCATGCCCGTCTACAAGATAAAGATCACCTCGGATTAAGCAAAACAACTGTAGAATTGAATCAAGGAAATTAAAGGTTCAAAAGTGGTTGTATATATGTACCAATGCAGCCATTCCACGAGCATCACTTACTAACTCGGTGCCCCTTAGAAATACGTCGGCTAAAGCTCCCTACATTGCAAACAAATTTCACAGTTGATCGAGGGTTCGATCAGCCAAGATGGTACAGGAGTTAACTGACCTGAATAGCAGCCCGATAGAAGAGCTCCTCGCCAACCGAGCCTGCAGCCACGATAAGGACAAACTGCGCCGGAACGAGTAATTTGATATATAAAATATCGATTATAAACTTGAATGAAAATGTAAAACATCTTTAATTTACCTGCCATGGAGACATTCCATAGAAAAAGCTTCGTAACTCCTCATCCTCAACATCTCTTATCGCACGAGCGTGTGGCGACACCTTCACGACTTCATCCTATACGCAATTAATGCAAGGATCGAAACAACAACTGAATTTAAACTTCCAATAGAATGTTAAAGAAGTTGATCGCGATTCTCACATCTAATATAAAGAGAAGAGCCATAATGGGAGGAACTGCGTATCCGACTCCTGTTACAATGGCATCAAACGAAGCTGAACAACCTCCGCTGCTATCGATTCCTACAGCCAAGCATATCAACTTCCCCGCTAACGCCATTATCCCATATATACCTGCAGTTTAATTCGGTTCAAAATCTTTAGATATAAATAATTCAAAACAAGCTCGAATACATGATGGTTATGGATCTTGTTGATGATTCATTTTTGGGTTGAAAGACTAACCGATTCCATAAGCGAGTCTAACGACAGCATCAATATTGTCCCCAGCCGGAAACTCTGCATCTGCAGAGAAGCTCTTATCAAATGTAGTCACCTCCATACCGAAGCTCCGGTAACCACCTACTACTCCGCCGCGACTCTGCGTTTCTCTGCCATCACCGCCCACCAAAGCTCTCACACTGGCCACTCTTTTTCTCCCAACGTATTTCCGATTTTTCAATCTCGTCGGCAATCTGACAACATCTCTGCTACAGCAACAAGCAAAACACTTGGTGGGTGTTGTGGAAATCGACAGAAACTCCATAAAAGAAACGTGGTTTTCAGATGAATCCGAGATTGAAGAAGCATAATGATGTAGTGGTGGTGATCATTTAGTATTTGGTGATTTTATTAAAATGATTTTGGGCGGAGAGAAATAGGGAGAAGAAAAGTCAACGTCGGGTATTTGGAATAATAGATCGACGGTTGATAACAGAGCCGTGATAGGTACTAGGACTCAAAACGACAACAATCCTGACCCGACGACCAAGTCGGAACCGCAAACATGTAGCAAGCAAGTACGGGTTGTTTGTTTGAAATAATTTATGTTTTTTTTATAAAGCATTAATCAACTTATTATAAGTCATAAGGGTTTAATTTTTTTAAAAATTTCTTATTACTGGTTTGATATCGTTATAAGTTATTTACCCAAACACTTAAAAGTGTTTATTATCGGTGTTACACCGGAATATGTCAATAAGTTGTTTTTATAAACAATTCCAAACATCCCTAAATAATGGTGTATAGAATTATCAAAAAGATTGGACCAAAAATCAATTTTTATAAAAGGTAAGTGAACTATTTTACTTATTAACGTCCTTTTGTAGGTTGTAACCGATCTTCACTAATGAAAAAAAGAGAAAGTGAGTGAAAAAACAATCACTTCAATATTTCTGTGATTGCTCAAATACGCTCGCTTGCATTACCACTAATGCAGACTGCGTTGTTAGTTTGCTAACTAGAATCATGCTTCATTTCTCCTCCGTCCCTTGCTCGTTCTTTTTTAAATCTATGATACGTCGAGTTAAAAAAAATAAGTTATTGTATAAGAAGAATACAAATTTAATACGATTCCTAATTAAAAAATAGTTTAAATTTATGTTAAAATAAGCTAACTTTCTTTTAATTGTGATTTTTTATTTTTTTTCCTTGTAAGACGGATTTCAAAAGACGTAAATTCAAGATTTTTAGAATTTGTTTCATATAAGGTTGTGAAAACATCTCAAGTTAGTAAAAGTATTGGTTGTTTCCATCTTTGTCATCATTTTGTCTTCTTCGTCTCCATTTCTAACAAAATTGCTTCTATGTGCATTCATAGATCAACGATTTACTTATTTGTTGCAGTACAAGTTTTAATTCCACAAGCAGCTTCTATAGAGCTGGTGATTTTGTGGTTTTGAGAACAATCCAAACTGACAGGATGTATGATTCAAAGATGTGAAGGTCCCATAGATCATATATTACCAATATTAGAAATCAAGTGACGATTTAGTAGAGTGATTCTATGATTAGTCCAATATTTTGTCAATTACTGATAAAATAATATTTTTTTAAAACCAAATATTGCATCTTATAATAATTATTGGAGGAAAAACAAGTGCTAAAATTACCATATTTTTTTTTCTAAATCGTGAATGTCCGGTTCAACTTGTGAACGTCTCGGCTAATCTCAGAGGTCTCACAAGATAATCAGGAAATTCTCAGTGGCCCTATAGGACCGGAATATATGACCCCTTAAAAAAGACTCTAAGTGGGTGTTTGAGATTGCTTATAAAAATAACTTATTGACTTATTCTGGTGTGACATCAGTAATAAGCACTTTTAAATATTTGAATAAACAAATTATATCGTTGCCAAACACGGTAATAAAAAGTTTTTAAAAAAGATAAACTTGTTTCAAATGAGCAAATCAAGAACACCTCTAAAGATCCAATAAAACAATTTTTATTGTGAGTTTTGGCCTACGGGAATATTTAGGGTAAAGAATGAGGATCTGATTCCCCAAAGTTTGCCGCATATCTACGAATCTTTGGTGTTTGTTTGCTTTGTGAGGGCCACTACCCACCTATAATTGCTCTAAATTTTAGTAATTTGGTGAGTGGAAGATTGATCGGTGAATACTGTCCTCAGTTCTTCTGTATCCTCTTACAGATTCACATCTCATCTCCCTCCATATGTATGTGTGTGTTCATTGGAGGTCCAACTCACACCTAACGCAATCCTAAATCCTAATCTTGTCCATATCCTCTCTCTTGTGGCTCTCAAATATTCAAGATTTCGATTCACATATACCCGTTTGCCCCCTTTCTTTTCCATTACTATCAACCCTCCGTATTCGTCAACAAAGATTCCATTTTTTTCAAGATTCAACCATTGGATGCTAATGAGAACTCACCAATAACCTTTACCCATTTGGTATTCTTCTTTCCTTTTATGTTTTTTCATTGTTTCTAATGGAGATTGAGTGGAAAGAGGGTTCGATGCCCCTGAACATAATTTGCTGCATAAACCTATTTGATGCTCATTCTATGAAATCGTTTTCTGTTATTTCAGATCGGATTCTTCGAGTTATTGGAGTAAGATTTGCACAGATCGTCTTTTTTTTTATTAATCTGTGGTGGGTTTATCAAATAATCTGCAAAGGTATGATATTTAGTGTTTAATACAAGTCTTTATTTACATCTGTTTCATGAACCAGTTCAATCACGTCACCTGCTTATGATGTATGCATTTTTATTTTTATTTTTGATTAGATCATCTGATGAACTCAACGTTTGGTTTGTTATTTGTTATTTGTAATTTGTAATTGTAATCTTTAGATTTAATGATGGTGTGTATCTTTGAAGTATGTTCAAGATGAGACATCTTCTTTATTCCCAACAGATGATGCTTAAATCTTGAAGTTGTATGGACCAGTTTTGAACTTAAAATGACATGAATTATTTAAGTTCTTGAGAAGCATTTGTTATCTATTTCGTTGAAGTCCACATTTGGTTTTTGAGTGACAAATGAGTTGGATTTCAACTTCAAAAATCAAGAGTTGTTTTGGTTTATGAAAAGGTTGATAAATACATTGAACTTAGACACAAATTTACCACAATAGAAGTCTGTATCTGAACACCTACAAGCAGGTCTGAATTTGATCAAAAGTTGTCAATTATGATATAGATCTTTTGGAAGCTTTACCACAACATATTTTCTGAAATAAACTTTCAGATGGGTGATGTAGCAAAGGACTTAGCGGCTGGGACGGTAGGTGGGGCGGCCCAGTTGATAGTTGGACACCCTTTTGATACCATCAAGGTGAAACTCCAAAGTCAACCTACTCCGCTACCGGGTCAACTCCCCAAATACTCTGGTGCGATAGACGCTGTTAAACAGACATTGGCCGCTGAAGGTCCAAGAGGTCTTTACAAAGGAATGGGAGCCCCACTAGCCACTGTAGCAGCTTTCAATGCTGTCTTGTTCACAGTAAGGGGTCAAATGGAAACCCTTTTGAGGTCTGAACCTGGTGCACCCTTGACCGTCAACCAGCAGGTCATTGCTGGTGCAGGTGCTGGAGTCGCTGTCTCTTTCTTGGCCACCCCAACTGAGTTAATCAAATGCAGGTCAGTAATTCTTTTAACTGCAATATACTCGTGCTAATTTGACTTTAGATCATATATGTCATCAGAACTATCTTTTAGGTACTGAAATTTACAAGTTTGACCTCTAAAATCAAAATGTGCATCTGTTTACGGATGATGACAGAGTAAAAAAAGTTAAACCCAATGTCAGTTTACCACTAGAACAAAACCGACTTTAGAGAAGATTCTCAATCTTTTACAGACTAGATGTTTAGAATCAAGTATCAACCAAAAAGACCCTTATTCCGTCATGCTGTGGAAAATTCGGGTGAGCTCTATCCACAACAAAATGTGGGTGAGATATATCAGCAGAAGAGAATAATGTCTGAAATGTTCTAATAGACTGCTTTATTTGACTTGATTTATAGAACCAACTAAATGTGCACCCTATATGGAGGTGTTATAGTAGATGTTATGACATAATTGAGCATTCTAACAAGTTTTTAAGATACTTTCTGTAACATTCAAAGGCTAACCGTAACAGATATTGTCTGTTTTGTCTGCACCTGGACTCACGGTTTTAAGACACGTCTGAAAGAAGAGGTATCCAGTCCCTTACAAGCAACCTTTGTTCCTTTCCCAAACTTGTGGGATCTTACAATCCACCCCCTTGGAGCCCAGCTTCCTCACTTGCACACCAGTCTGGTTCATGGCTCTGATACCATTTGTAATATCTCTGGCTAACAATATCAGATATTGTTCACGTTTTAAAACACGTCAGAAAGAGGAGGTGTCTAGTCCACTATAAGGCAGCCTTTGCTTCCCTCCTCTGATGTGGGGTTTTACAGTTTTGATATGTTATTAGCTTTTCTATAAGACATTTTTAGTAGAATAATAGGAACACATGTTTTTATAGAACACTTGTTTATAGAATACACTTTTTCAACTATGTCATATAAAAGACTAATAGGATGCTTTACTTAAAAACCTTCGAGTAAAGCTTATTAGGTCGTCCAAAGTGCCCTATCAACTTATTGTAACGCATTTATACAGGACGCACAATTTTTGGTCCTACAAACTTATTTTTTCTGAAATCTAGATTGCAGGCCCAAGGCGCAGGTGCAGTGGCAGAGGCTGGTGGTGCAGTTGCGGCTGCAGTGAAGTACAGTGGTCCAATGGACGTGGCTGAGCAAGTCCTAAGGTCCGAAGGAGGTGCTAGAGGTCTCTTTAAAGGGCTATTTCCCACATTGGCTCGTGAAGTTCCAGGAAACGCGGCAATGTTTGGTGTTTATGAGGCCCTAAAACAGTATTTTGCTGGTGGCACTGATACTTCTGGTTTAAGCAGAGGTTCACTGATGATGGCTGGAGGGTTAGCAGGAGGTGCATTCTGGGCTTCGGTTTACCCAACCGACGTTATCAAGAGTGTGATCCAGATCGATGATTATAAGAACCCCAAGTATTCTGGATCAATTGACGCTTTCAAAAAGATACTAAAATCTGAAGGAATCGGAGGTTTGTATAAAGGTTTTGGACCTGCAATGGGTCGAAGCATCCCTGCAAATGCCGCTTGTTTTCTAGCATATGAAGTCACGAGGTCGAGCTTGGGCTAGACATCAACGAGCTTAGTGTCTCATTGTTTTTAACATTCATTGTACCGGATGAATTTATTCTCTTGAAAGCATTGAAATAGTTTTCTTTTGTGCTTCGTGGGTTTTTTAGGACGTCCAATCATCATTGGAGTTATGAAAGAGTGACAATAAGTTGTTATGACGAAGTTAGCTGACCTAACAAGTTTTATCAATGAAATTGGAAAATCTAATTGAACTCAAAAAGTATATCATCATATTAACGTTTTGAAAAAGGGTTCCATTGGTCATTTTATAAAACTCGTCACATATGGCACTTTCCAAAAGTGTTCTATCTTGTCACGGTATGATATCGCACTAAACATGAGACGACAAGTTTTTGTACTGTTCTTTCCCGAGCACCAAATGCAACCTAAACGACCAATTTTGTTGTAGTAGAACTGCATTGAATTTGATCGGGTTTTCAACATCCGGTTTACGTTTGTTTAGCTGGTTTTTCTTTCCACCCAAAAAACGAGGCATAAAGTGTGTAAGCATCACAACAAATTTCACATAAATCTTTCAGTCATTCTCTTGATCGAGCGAGCAACAAACTTTGCCCCTAAAATCTCCAAACCTTTTGGTTCAGTCAACAGAGAAAAAAGGGGGCCACTTTTAACTCTTCCCAAAAAGAAACCGTGTGCCTTCGCATTTGCGAATGCACACACGTGTGTATATATATACATACATACATACATGTATATATATATATACACAAGAGTCACCGGGGACTATGAAAAATGGCTAAAATGGACGATCACTTGCAATCTCACTCCTCACTGCCTCTTCTTTCGAGACCAGATCGCATGGATTCTTTTGTGAGCTTAATTTGAGCCTTTCTTCTCATTGTAACTAAATCGAAATTAATTCACAACGATTGTATGTTTGTAATTCGATAGTTTTAATGAACATGTCTTGTTACATATCTATGTAGATGAAGCATATCACAAGGAACCCTAATATATCGAGATGGCGCAGCTACATTTTTTCATTCGGCAGGAAGAGTAACGAATGTGTACCATTGAATGCGACCGTCTTAGATGCCAACAACAAGAGTTATTTGCTAGATCGGATCGAGTCCCTTGAAGATCGCCTTATTCAAGTAATATTTTATTTCAATCTGCATGGCATGGTCCCTCCCAGTCTGCACATAATTGGTGGGGCAGGGGAGGGACATGGAGTTTTGAGACACAAGATTTTTACTCGGTTCATACATAATTAATACGTTTTATTTGGGATGAAATACAGCTCTCATTGGAGATCGAGACTCAAAGAACAACGTGTACTTCGGCCACAACTTCCACGCTTTCTAGATCACGGGAACTACCGGTTTCTTCATACCCGGTTTTCAACAATCCTAAGCTGAAATGCAATTCCATCAACAATGGTTGTCAATTAGAGGTAAAACTATATACGGAAAGCTTGTTACTGATTGAATGGTTAGTTTACGTTCTTGTAGTTTCATATACCTTCCATAAACCCAGTTTTTATGAAGATGAGAAGATATTTAAGAAAAGTGGTTTGATTAGTAAATGGTAAAATCATAAAGTCTAAGGACTCGTTGTGTAATTTGATGAAGTCTAGGGACTTCTTGTGTAATTTGATATCTAGATGTATCCTTAAAGTGTCCCCCAACAAATTCTCTAAAATATGAAAAATAAAGGTTTCATTCTTTATATTGCTCCAACAGATTATTTGTAATATTCTCTAAAATAGAAAAAACATGGGGAAAAATCTCAAAGTTTAGAGAATTCTCTAAAACTTGACGTTAAAAGTATATAAAGTTTCTTTATAAAAGTGTATTGGTATGATAAATTATTATTCTTTTTATATAAAGTTTTTCTTAAACGTTGGTGGGATGATAAATTAAAGAATATTATAATAATATTATTTATGTTAAAATCTCTAAAATAAAGAATCTGTTGGAGTTGAAATGTAATTTCTTTTAGAGATTTTAACTTTTGATCATCTATTTTAGAGAAAATTACAGAGAACACGTCTGAGATGCTCTTATAATCTAATTTATCAAGATATTATTTTAAAATATCAAATTTGGACTTAATTAAATTCAACCCGAGTCCCATATTAACGTTGATTTTATGAACAGACGATACCCGAAAGATTAGAAAGCAAGCAAAAACGTAAAAACAGGAAGAGGAACGGGGATGATGAGAAGACGTTCAAGAATGGAAAGAAAAAAGCTCATAGTTGGTCACATCTAAAGATATTAGGTTGCTAATGTTCGGTTTTATTCGAATCATTTTTAGTTATTCATTTTGCACCTTTAATCCTATTATTATCTAGTTTTAGAAAGAAAAAAAAAGATTCCAAAAATAAATAAAAACATATGTAAAAACAGACTTCTTGGAAGCGTGGGATTTGTCTCGTACTCTTAAGTGGATCGACTTGTGTCTTGAGTGGTAGTTACCAGTTTCCACATCATTTAGGTGTATTTATTCTTTTTGTTTTAATAAAATCTACGAGACTTCTAAAAATAGAATACAATATTTCTTTAAAGAATTAGTTTTATTTAATTATTTACAATCATTGTGAGGTATAATAAGATTGACCGTAATTCATACCTACTCTCCGGGGTATTATATATATATATATATATATATATATATATATATATATATATATATAGACTTGAGATCATGTGAGACCAATTGTNTATATATATATATATATATATATATATATATATAGACTTGAGATCATGTGAGACCAATTGTTTTTCGTGAGACCCGTAAGACTAATTTTCAACCTTTGGATTAGATCTATAATCTGACAAAATATAAACATTCATAAATGCCACGAGATTTCTTAATAATTACCAAATTGCCACCGTACAATTTAGACCGTTAGATCATTAATTTATAAAGTTGATCAATGAACATAAATTGGTCTTACGGGTCTCACGAAAAACCTTTGGTCTCACGTGAACCCAACCCTATATATATATATATATATATATATATATATATATATATTTGTTAATTATTAAAATCATATTTCAAGTTAAAAGTTGCATTTCTTATAAAAAGGAAGAAATTATAAAATGAAAGTGAAGTACTTATATTAGTAACTAATTTCTATTAGCAACTTGCATCTTAATGGATGACAAAACATTCCATTCATCATTTACTTTCTATGTTATTTTCTTTTTTATTGATTATATATATATATATATATATATATATATATAAACAGAGTAATGTGAGATATTAATCAGGGTCTTTAAAACCGAACTTTTTTAAAGTGCAATTATATATATGTATTTTAGTCTGTATCCAATTATATTTTGATTTCCAGCCTCGCATTCTCCTTCTTGTTTTAGCTTGGATTACTGTATGTATGTATGTATGTATAAATTAAAATTTTATATGTTATTTTGTTATTTTAAGACATTTTTATTGTTTTAGTTTGTCTTAAAAATTAGAATGTATGTTTTATAACATATGCATTATATACTATATATATATATATATATATATATATATATATATTAATTTATGTATGTAAAGGTGAATGGTGTTGGGGCCAAGGTAGGTGTAGGGTAGGGTAGGGGAAGGGTGGTGTTAGAGGATGGTTGACCCTTTTGATGTACAAAATTGGTTGATGGTCATGGATCACATCAATTTTGGAGGCCAGAAAGCAAATTAAGATAAGATAAAGAAATCAAATGTCTTAAAAGCCTTGCTTGGTTGTCTGGATGGACCACCCTTCAATGACTGGACTCACCCTGCTTTCCATAATTACATCTCACTCCCTTCATCTATTGCTTAATTACACATACATCCCTTATATTCTACATCCGGTTCTTGTGAATGCATAGACGAGAGAGGATGAGATGTGATGAGACTCGACAATTGGATGTGCGATAGGAGCAGGTCAACGAATTATATAAGGTTTTAAGATTTTAATTTGACATGATGAATAATTCATGAAGCAAGGGTTTCATTTGTAACTATGGAGGAACTTAGAGGACCTAGGTGCACTTATGAAAAGGGCGTTTCCATTCACAAAAATATATGATGCCAATTAATATGGTCGAAGAATTAGCATCTTTTCAATTTTTAGTATTAAATTTTATACATTTTGACTTTATTTTGAATCATGCATTTATGATATTTTGGAAATAATTATATCATATAGTCAACGATGTATGTGTGGTGAGAGATTAAATTGCATAATTAATAGCATGTCACACAATCATCTTGTTTGTAATGACAATGATCATGTTATTTTAATGTAACATACATACATACATACATGCATATGTATATATGTATGTTACATAGAACATTTAGATTAAACGAACATTTATTTGTTTACGATAGTTATAGATAAAAGTTGAAGTGTTATTTTATAAATATAAGACAATAACAGATGAAATAAATGTCGTATTCTTATCCATGACATCTTTGTAAAGTAAAAGTTTCTTACAACTCCTCAAAACGTCGTTGGAACGCCATAAATTCAATCTAACCCCTTTTTGGTTATATGAATATATCCTTCAGTACTTTTGGTTATCAGTCAATCTAATTGCATTACTTTTCGTATACTTTGTATTATGTGTTTTTGTTGTTCTTATTCATTCGATCTTATCCTTTAAACTTTATATTCTAACATGAATTAATGTTTTAAATAATTTATCTTAATTCTTACGATGTTCATGTCTTCCTTCCTACTATCTGGTTTTGTGCCTCTAATTGACAATCTAGCATTAACAGTAAATGTATCGTAAGAGAAAAACAAGAAGACGAATGTAAAGTATTAAAATTTGGATTTTCGTACCAGTAGAATAGTAAATTAAATAAGATCAAGAGAAACTATTATAGATTTATTTTCTTGCAAACGTATCAATGATATGATTTACATCCAGTCGAGATAGATTTAAACTGATTTTGAAAGGTCACCAACACACTCGTCTTAATCATCCATATTGATTATCATAAAATACAAGCAACATGCATATCCACGCATTCATGTGGTTATATGTTTTACATGAACTCTGTATATTTATTGACTTAAAAATAGTTACATTACGTTCGTAATAGATAAATAAAATTGTAATATAAACTTTATTGTCTTTCATTATTCATAATTACAGTAGATTAATTATGTTATTCGATTATACATTTAAGGGTTGTTTGATTGGTTTTCCATGAAGACATGCATGGATAAAACTATTTATATGAATCAATCTATCTGTATAGATTGATGCAACTTGTTTTTAAATTTGGATGGACAGTTTTGGAGAAAATTTGGTTTTCTACATAAAGTTTTTCTCTGAAAGTTACTGAATAAGTCATTTTCTACATGATCAAGTCATTACCAAACAGTTATCTATAACTAACCAAATAAACTATAAATTTTATTAACCTCGTTAACATGCAAACAAACTAGACCTTAAAATTTTATAATATACCAAACTTGTTTGAGGTCTTGAAGGATGTGGTGGAATATTTCATCTGTTCAGGGTCCGATTTCATGCATATATAACAATTATAACCACTGTATTTATCAAAACTGATTTATTTCAACCGAATTAGTTCAAAAATAGCTTGAACATGCTTTAGAGAACCTTAAAAAAAACTTCTTCTAAATTTATTAAAACATCAAACTTTAATTTTTAATTGTTTTCAAAAAAAACTTTAATTTTTATTATGACTAGTTAATTTACCATTATACCCTCAACGTTTCTCGAAGTCCATATCTTATATACTAAACAAATGTTGGTCCTTATCTATTCCCCACAACCCTCTCTCTCTCTCTCTCTCTCTCCCACTATCCATATTTCTCTGTAGAAATGGAGAAAGGCGACACCTCCTCGACGGCGGAAGAAGACAAACCACCGCCACCGCTACCGCCCCAAACCATCACCACCACAACCACCCACCACCTGTCGGCCCCACCAGGTTTGACCGAGGATGAGTTCAGCGAATTGAAACCTCATGTGATCGACTTCCACACCTACCATCTCACATCATCCCAATGTTCTTCCCTACTCGCCCAACACATCCACGCGCCGCTCGCCGTCGTCTGGTCAGTCGTCCGTCGTTTCGACAAGCCGCAGACGTACAAACACTTCATCAAGAGCTGTACCGTCACCGAAGGCTTCACAATGGCGGTGGGGTGCACGCGTGACGTCAACGTCATATCAGGGTTGCCGGCGGCAACCAGCACAGAGCGGTTAGACTTGTTGGATGATCAGAATCACGTGATGGGGTTTACGATCATCGGCGGTGAACACCGGTTGAGGAATTACCACGCCGTGACAACGGTACATGAGATTACAACGGCTGAGAACGCACGGCCGATGACGGTGGTGTTGGAATCTTACGTTGTGGATGTGCCGGAAGGGAACACGGAGGAGGACACAAGGCTATTTGCCGACACGGTGGTGAAGTTAAATCTGCAAAAACTGGCGTCTGTCACCGAAGCCATGGCACATGACGCCGATGCCACCGTCAAGATTCTCAGGTGATGCTGGCAATTAATTGATTCCAATCCCTCAACCCCACACAACAAAATAAATAAATAAATAGAAAAGAAAAAAAAATCAATCTACACTTTTTCTCATTGAATTCAAATATTTTGTGAGTTTCTTTTTCTCAATGTTTGTATCGAATTTACAAATAGCACCCTTTCTCTGTAATGATGGGCTGCTAATGTCAATTGTATATTAGGGGCTTTTTGGTCAATGTCCATAATTTTGTGAATATTTTCTTTTTTTACTTGATTAAATTTTATGTTTGTAGGAGTTTTAGGGCACACATTGATTAAAGATGAAAACTTTTAAGTAATTCAAAGATTAATTAATTAATTAAATAGTTTTGTATTTTTCCCAAAAAAAAATAGTTTATTATTAATTTTAAAAAAAATAAAAATGGAAATTTTAGTAGTTAAATGACTTTAATTAGAAAATATTTATTTTTACCCAACCAATTAAACAAGAAGAGATCTGACAATAACTGATAGGGTAAAATTACCAAAGGACCCCACGTACCGAATATATGATAATTACATAAATAGCCCTTGAATTCGCTGAATTTGGAACGCCTTCAAACTACTACCAGAAAGATGAGGAAAGTAACAGGATGATGTCATCTATATTTTCAGGTCTGGCCCCTCATCTTATGATTGTTTCAAATTATGCAAAACTAAACCGCTCGAGCTTTACGGTTTTGCGATTGATTTCATTGGCTTCGTCGAGTTGGTCGATGGATCACCTAACGGTTGATTTTAATGAATGTTGCGCACTTTGTGACCGATTCTTGAATATCAAGTTTGTTAGTGCAATTTTGAGGAAAGATATTTGGCACAAGATTTCAGTTAAATAATATTCAAATTCGGATAATCTATATTAACTCATAAACCAAATTTATCAAAAGCCTTAAAAACATATTTTAATGCACAAAATACTATACATTTATACACAATGTCTTAAAAATCTTAAAACAACTCATAATGCATTAAGTCCTACTACTTTATGCATTCAGTCTTAATATCTCTTAATCTACAATTAAAATAACATATATACAAGTTACCAATACATATTATTACCTTTTTTTATCATGTTCTCAAGATACTTTTAATATTTTTCACTCATGTCTTCATCCTCTCATACCTCTATGTTTTCTCTTCATCCCCCAATGTGAGATTCAAATTGATATTCACCATGAGTTATTAAAAGTTCTCACATTCATCTCTCATTTAATTGCTCTAGAACTCTCGGCCTTGCTCTTGATTCTTTGCTTTTTGTGTAAATCGAACACATTTGTGGAGTTGTTTAAATATATTGTATTTTAAATATATTGGATTTTAAACTATCAGACAATTTTTTTAATCGATAGGCTGTAATTGAAACTATAACTCTAATTTATTCAAATTGTATTAATATGTAATGACCAAGTGTAACTTAGATCATCGCTAAATCTTCTCTAATAAAACCAGTGAAACTTCAAAATCGTTAAAATTCACAGCTCATGTCACATTGCACGGGTACACAACTAGTATTTTATAAAAAGAATTTGTCTAATGGCCCACGGACATTGGGATTTGCCAAATGAATTTTGTGAAAAATACATTTAAAGAACAAAATCTGATTTTTAAGAGACAGGTATATCTAAACTCAAAACATGTAGACGGTTGGAATTTAGTTCCAAAATATTTTTTTAAAATTGTTTCTTAAAAAATTGAGATATGCAAAAATAATTTCTGAAATTTTCATATTTAACCAAATCAACTTTTATAAAAATCAAGGGTTTCCTTTTTGTTTCTTTTGCAATGTGTTTGAATTTTTCATAATTTTTATTTAAAAATGTTTTTTTATAAACCTTGTACATTTTAAGACAAATTAAAAAACGTTTTGAACCCTTTTAATTTTAATATATATATATATATATATAATATATATGTATGTATATATGGGGAAAAAACCAAAAAAAACTCAATAGACTTTAGTGTTTGAAATGATTAAGTTCTTGGACAATTTTTTGAAACAAATAAGTACTTGAACATTCCAAAACATGTTAAACAACTCCTTGGACTTTCTAAAACATGTTAGATACATTCTTATGACCTATAAAACTAATTAACGCAGTAAAATAATGGAAAAACATGAAAAAGAGCCAATGAACATTCATATTTTGAGTGATAAAGTCTCTAAACATTTTTTTGAACAAAAAAAATACTTACATTATATAAAATAAAACAAGTATAACAAAAAAGTACTTACATTTAATAAATATTATTGATGAAACTTATTTTAAT